ATGGATATTATAGACATGACGAAGCAGAATGGACTGTAGGCCCAGCTTTTACAGTTTCTGAGTAATCAAGCTCTGAGATTCGCTGCTATATAAGATGGTCCGAAAGACTTCCCACGAGTCCTTTAAGAGAAAACGTGGCGCGATTTTAGGGACTCAGGCGCTCGTTTCAAAACGAGCAGTGATTTTGTACTTGTTGTGATTATCCTTGCTTTGTTTACTTTTTGCACCTAGAAGCATTCTTGGTCTACTTTAAGCAAAAGTACCTTGGTTAAGCCTTGAAATTTTTGCTAAACTTTGTCCTGTGTTACCTTTTTTACTCATTGACTGACACTTGTGTTCACAATGTGATCATATTGTTTTAAAACTTTTTAGTCAAATTACAATGGTTAGTAAGACTTAAAAATATGGACAACTAAACTGCTTGTTCCCCGTTGAGGAAGGAATGCAGTGAGATAAATGTAAAAAGTGGTGCCATGTTATGTGTACACGTCTAAGTCCTACGGCATACAAAAGATGCTCGAAGCCTAAGTTGCATTGGCTTTGTATGTTTTGCTGTCCAAATAAGAAGTTACTAATCCAGGAAGCTATGAGCCTATTGGCTTTGGCCTGTAAGAAAAACGATGGTGGTTGCGCTGATAACACGAGCACTGACGGTGAAGAACGTGTCAGTGTAGTACGTGCTGCTACCCGACCCGTTAAACACCCGACTGTGATTGACGGGAAAGTGAAGTCTCCATTAACATTGACGAGGAATGAAGTGCCGCTTGATATTGACATCGGTAACCATACACCTTCAGTACGGAGAAAAAGAAATGAGAAGAAAAAAGCTCTAGGTAAAACAGCTGTTTAGCAAGTCATTTGGAAGAGATGGAATCAGAAAAAACTCCGCTGCGTGTCAAGACAGATCTCTCTGAGAGGTCAACCATTTTTAATAAGTTAAGAGAATCTTCCTATAAGGAACCAAGGGCTAGATTTGAACATGACCTCAGTCATATTAATAAGCAAACTACTACCAGATACAGTTTAAGGAGTTAGTGTTTTTAAGTTACATAGAATAGGACAAAAGGTGGATTCTGAAAGTCATCAGAAAAACCGCCTTTTGAAGGTTACATTTGCCACAGTTGAAAAAAAGAGCCGGATTCAAGGTAACTGATTTGATCTGGAATATACGTCCGTGAGAATTTCACCCTATCTGGTCGTATTAAGAGACGAAATGCTGAAGTGAAGATAAATGAGTGTCGCCGAAACGGTGAAAGAAACCTCATTCTTAAGGGTTTTCAAATTGTAAAAGTTCGGAGCAGAACAATCCCAAAACCACTCTGGGTGATAAGGGAAAGTTCTTCACGGACTTAAAGGTATGCCACACAAATTTTTGCAGCCTTCTAAGTAAAATGGCCGAGCTCAAGCCAATGGTGGATAGAGAAAAACCGGATGTTATTGCTGTTTCAGAAACTTGGTTAGCGTCAGAAGTATTAGATAATGAAATTCAGTTGACTGGATTTTTAACCACTTGGGCTGATAGAATAGACTGTAGGGGAGGCGGGGTTATCCTATACACAAAAAGCACTTTAACCAAAAGAGTAGCTGAGACAGTGGCACATGTTTCAGGGACATGTGGACTGGGGTGACGTAAGCCGAAATGTAGACGGAATGATATTGAATTACTTGTAGTATATCGCAGTCCATAACGTGTAGCAGATGATTTTCTCCTAAGTAGACTTAAGTCCCAATGTAACAAGGGTAAACGCCTTATAGTAGGCGACTTTAATGCACCGTATATAAACTGGGTTAACTTAGAAGTAGGGTCATCGATAACGTCGTTCGATTGTAAAATGTTAGAAACCTTGATTGGGTTAGCTCTATTCCAACGCATCAGAAACCCCACAAGATATGACTTAAGAAACTTTTCTTCTCCATTGGATTTATTCTTCACACGCGGTGATGACGTTGATCAAATGACTTTTCTTCCACCACTAGGGAGAAGTAACCATGCAGTCATCTTACTCAAATTCATGGCTGAGATTGCCTGTCAAACAGTTGCGCCGGCCCGTCCTAATATATGGAAGGCAGATATGGAGGCAATCAACTCCGCAGCATCGGCTGAAAACTGGGAAATCGACTCAAGGGCATCAGCACAAAAGGCATCGACTCTTTTCAGGCAGTTATACAATTGGGTAACTCAACCATACATACTCTGGACAGTTCCAAAGGAGAAGAAGCACGGCCAACCCTGGATTGGCTGGGATATTCGACGTTTACTAAGACAAAAGAAGAAATGTTGGTATGTTGTCATCCGCCTTGGCACAGCAGGTACGATGAAACGCTACAGATCGGTAAGAAACAAGTGTATAACAAAAATTCGGGGAGCTCAAGAAAATATGAAATGCAGTTGGCACAAGCTGCACTCAAGCAGCTTAAGAGGATATTCTCGTACATAAACTACAGAATAAGGATGCATCATTGGATCCCAAACCTAATTAAAGAAGGGAGTGAATTTGAAATGATAGAGGAAGATCAGGAAAAAGCAGAGGCTATGGTTGACTATTTTAGGGCAGTTTTCACTCAGGAACCTCCTCTAGACAAAGAACCAGACCAAAATAAAAAGTCAACAAACCACCTGCTCACCTTGGACCTTGATCAAGACGATGTGCTTAAGGCTCTTAGCACCTTAAACCTGGAAAAGTCAACAGGACCAGATGAATTACACCTCAAAATCTTGAGACATATTGCACAATATATCGCGGCTCCGCTGACTGTGATATTCAATGTCAATTGACCAAGGTGTGTTACCTATGGACTGGAAGGACGCAATTGCCACGCCCATACATAAAACAGGAGCAAGACAACTTCCATCGAACAACAGATCTGTAAGATTCACCAGTGTTGTAGTTAAAATATTGAAAAGAATAGCCAAACGGACCATAATGGCACTTATGGAAACCAATAACTTGTTAAACATAGAACAACATGGTTTTAGGAAGGGTCTATCTTGTACAACGAACCTCCTTATAGCAAAGGAATTTTGAATAAAGGGGCTAGACAACGGAAACCCAGTGGATGTTGTCTACATATACTTCAGTAAGACTTTGACAAGGTGCCAACTAATAGACTGCTATTGAAGTTGGCAAACCTTGGTATTGCTGGACCCTTTTTAAAATGGATTAAGGATTTCCTAGTAGGTCGTAGACAGAAAGTAAGAATAAATTCCAAGTGCTCCATTTGGAGGCCAGTATTTAGCGGGGTACCTTAAAGTTCCGTCCTGGATCCTTCAATTTTTATCGTGTATGATAACGATTTTCCAAGTATAGTACAGTCCCAATGTTATTATACGCGGACGATGTAAAGATCTGGAGAGTAATAACTGGATACACAGACGCATGTGCTCTTCAGGTAGACCTAAATAATATGATTAACTGGTCTAAAGATTGGCTGATGCCAATCAACGCGGCAAAGTGTGTCTACATGCACTGTGGGGATTCAAAGGTTAATAGGTACAACATAGGGGAAGTGCCATTACCCGTGGTCCGGTCTCATAAGGATTGTAGTGACTCACATTTATCACGAGAACACGACTGGTTTAATAAAAACAATTATTATTATAACCAACTGTACCAGTGCTTGTTTTAATGTGCTTTTGTTTGACTGTGCTAATGACAGCTATTTTGTGCTTCCATTCTTATACTTACACTTCGATTGTAACTTCGCGCGAATTCGGTTACCTTCTGTAACCAAAGTTGTATCCTGGCACGATCTCGGTATCCTCTCGATGCCACAAGATCGCCAGCAAATATAACTCGACTTGGTCCATTACTTGCCTTCTGGTATTTGGCTTCTCGGGGATTATATGGGTTTCTTTGGTTACGTTCAACCGTCGCCTTTTGATTTACTTGGCACGTGTTTCTTGGTAACGGTGTTCATAGTTAATCTCAACTCGACGCCACGCTACAGGATCTAGGCGTGACAGTGAGTCATGGTCTTAAGACGACGGCTCATTCCCAGAAGGTCGCAGCTAAGGGGTTTCGAACCCTATGGGCCTTAAAACAGACACTCACTAAATTAGATACTACCATGTTCACCACAGTATACACATCCTTGGTGAGAACTAAGCTTGAAAACTGCGTACAGGCTGCAAGCCCGTTTAAAAGGTGACTCGGATATCCCAGAAAAGGTACAGAGAGCGGCTACCCGCGTAAGTCCAGAACTCCGGGGTTTACCATGCAAAGAGCGTCTTGAAAAGCTGGACCTCTTTACTCCGTCCTATCGCAGATTAACGGGAGATCTAATTTTGATGTTGAGAGTACTGAGAAATGATTTTGGACCTAACTTATTCTCTTTTTCTTCCCACTAGATCTGGGCATCTCAGAGGACATAGCAGGAGAATAGAAAAACCAAGAATGAGCAAACTACGCGTGGCATATATGTTTTCACACCGAGTCACAATACTTGGAACCTGCTGCCCGAAGCAGTGGTGTCCGCATCCTCAATTGACTCTTACAAGAGAAGACTGGAAGCTCACAGAAGCACAATAGAAAAGGCATAACATAGGCCGTAGGCCTTCCGTCCTTACTGCACGAATCTGAATCTGAAATATGAGAGTGTTTCACTATACTCCACTAATAATTCTCTTTCCATCGTTAAATATAGCTAAATTCTTACATGGGGGCATCGGTGACCTATTGATGCTAGATACAGAAGCTAATCAAGCGAAAGCTTCATATATTCCATCCAAAACCATTTGAACTACTTTTGAATTTAAGGTGTTTTTTGTTTGAATACTTCGAATCCTCATGTTGCTGATACTTTCTGAGAGCGCGTTTGTGAATCTACTCAGATTTACTGGCGGCTGACGGTTGTACTCGTCGAGGTGATTAAAGTTCACTAAAACTGTCTCTAAGTTGGTTGTTCATCCATTCAAGAATCTGCTCCTGATTGATGAGAAGTAAATATTCATTATATCCAGTAAAAATTACCCTACCCACATTACTACTAGCATTCTAAACATGGTCCTAGGGTATAGTTATTCTTTAGACTGTGATTCAGAGTCTGGAAAGAATAACCTTGTTGATTTGGAGGAATTCCCTGCCTTAACAAAATCAAAACCTATCAGCTTCAGCGGTGTAACGTGGAAAAGCCAAGTTTTTGTACCTACTGAGGATTCCATAGAGTCAGAGGCCACTGGAAATAGCTGTTTGAATGTCTCTAAAAAGAAACGCTTAAAAAAGAAGAAGAAAAAGATTCTTTGCAGTGGGGAAAGCACTGATGATAGCTCTCCCGCGAAGTGTTGTGACTTCTGTTTTTTTGTGAGCGAGGAAGTGGAAAGCACAAGTAAGTTCACAATGTTTGCATACGTTTTTTGTATCAGTGAATGCAAGTCATCCTCACTGTAGGAACCAGCACTTTCGTTCTAGCATTTTTGGACTTTATTTTTGGTGAATTTATATTTTGTTCACGAATCTATATATTTATATGACTCAGACGTATAGGCTCTTAAAGGTCTCATCTGAATGGCGCAAGTAATAACATTATTGAAATAGTATTAAAATATTTTTTTAACGACAATATTGTGTCAGTTATCATTGCGTTAAAATTTTATAACCCCAGGAGTTGACTGGTCTCAGTTCTACTGTTAAACGTAGTGCTCATATAATTCTCGAGAACCTTAGACTGCATTAACTTAGATTGAGATTCCATTTTATTTTCTACTAGAACATACAGGTCTCTCAGCTTTGACGGCTTATGTTAACGATTAAAGTGGATGTTCTACAAGCTATCTCAAGTTATTTTACAGTGATCCGCAGCAATAAATGAGCCTAACGACGGGACTGACCGTAATTTCAAGTTGACTAACAATATAATCTGATAATTTCAAGGGACATTGTTCATAATGGCTGCATTGACAGACTGCTTTATGTGTACTAGGATGAAGTCAGCGCTTTATCTAATTTCTGTTATGTCCCGATAAGCATAATGAATGGTAACTTTGGGATCCATTTATGAATCAATACTAACATATATTTTTATCGTATAATTGTTAAATAACTAAACTATTCATATTTATATTCCTCTTATTATAAGCTTTATTTTGACCTATGAACCATTATTATACGTTTTACCGTTCTTGAATTAAGCTGTCTATTAGCCACTGCATCCCACATTCACAGCCACATTTGGCCAAATTTTCTACAAATGTTATTTTCTATTTTATGGTACGTTGTGGTCTGTCTAATCGGTATATAAACTCAGCATGTTTGAAATATGATTCATATCGCAGAGGCTCGGATTGGTGTTCTGGACTTAACTGGCTGGGCTAGGCGGAAAGCAGGACCAATCAGGACTCTAGGCTGCTCATACGGGTTTACGCGTCATTGATCTGTTCGATAAGTCACTGCTCTCTAATCGGCGGTCACAAGTATAACAGTTGCTTCGTTTTGTGGTATTCCACATGTAACTAGATCTGATAGTAAACCTATCATGTTGTAGATAATTGTGTGAACGTTAGACACTGAGGATTCTGTCTTTCGATACTTATATCACTTGTAAACCTTGTAAGTCTTAATGTCAATATGGATTTTCTAGTACCTTTATCTCAGACAGCATTTTATTTTCCGAGTAGATTTTTGGCTTCATCATTGATACTCTCGTTTTTAGAACTATCTGGAATGTAATATGTAATGTTAGTCTTCAGCGTCACAACTGTATCGACTTTTGTGGTTAACTTGGTAGGTTTGGGCTGGCTAGTTATGGTCTAGATATAATTTTGATCAGTGGTTGTAAACATTGGGCAACATGGCTCAAAGTCATCCGCGTTCACGTGAGCTGTGTCTGTTCCTAGATCCTGGGTTTCAAAATTATTTCGTACTTTTTATTCCTCCAGTTATTTCTCTCTCCAATCGTATAATTCGCGTCTAATCTTTCTTGTTATCAATGATACTATTACTACCAGTACTAACACCGATTGTGCTACTGCTAACACTACTACTTCGTATTCATACTTCCATCTTGCCTTCTTAATGTCGAGTGGGAGGTTTGTTTTGTTTATTTGGACATAAATGTTGTTACGAGGTCTCAAAACACAAGCAACACAAGAAAATGAAGTTGTGAGATAGGGAAAATGAGCATAATAAAGAGAATAACAATGCTTAGAAATCAGTGTATGAGAATGAAGTAATGATGATTGTTATGATAATAATAGCCGTAGTGAGAGAATCACTCCAGCTAAGGAAAATAAACCTAGTAATAATTCTTTTAGTTAAAGAAGCTACTCACTTTTATTAAGTTAAGTCACCGCAGGATCACCACTAACTTCTATTGTGAACCGTGTATGATAATGTTTCAAGCTACTGTTGCACCATCCTTCGGACCCTAACCAAGCAGCCGTGAAGAACCAACAGAAATCAGTCCTGTACAGCTTCCATTCCATAACACTGTCATGCACTGGCCATCTCTCCGCTTTTTCCAACCAGCCTCAGCATCGCCAAATAATGCATGATGTGAAATTTTCTAAGACGACATCCGTAAGAGGCCGGGTTTAACAAGCACAGAGAAAAACTGTTCTGGCCGACGCATTATGGTTCCAACCTTTTACTGACAAACTAACATCACGAAGGCGCCCATAATGGCCTAGATTAGCATAAGCCGCTCTGGCTTTCAGTACATCTTAATTGCGATTCCCCCTCTCGAAATGCGAAATATTGTTTCAGGATTGGGTTGCACCGGCACATGAACTTATGATAGGGAGTGAAGTAGTTGAGCGTGTCAACCACTTCACTTATCTTGGAAGTCTCATCAGCCTTCGTGGTCCGATGTGAAGAAATCTCAGCACAGATACAGAAGGCTCAACTAGCTTTTGTCAACTTACATCATTTATGGCGTAGGTGAGATATCCGTCTATCAACTAAAGGACAGGTTTACTGCACAGCAGTTTGTTCCGTCCTGCTTTATGGCTGTGATACATGGCCGGTAAGAGTAGAGGATCTTCGTGGGTTACTAGTATTTGATCATAGATGTCTTCGAAGCATTGCTCGTATATCCTGGGACTATCGAGTAAGTAATGTAGTGGTTAGGAAACGGGTACTGGGTAAGGATGACAAATAAACTGATGAAGCTTCACTACTTCATCAGTTGAGATGGCTGAGACGTGTGTTACGTATTCCCAACCATTGACTGCCCCGATGTGCGATGTTTTATGGTGTAGGAGTAGGTTGGAAGTAAGGTACAGGCGGCCAGACCGAAACATGGCACAAATCCATGAGGTCTTTGAAAAGTGGACTGAGTCATGTTGATAGATGTAGACTACCTGGTTGTGATCCGCGAGACGATAACAACCAGTGGTTAGAGACCTTGAATGACATGGCTCAAAATCGTTTGCAATGACGCAGGTGCATCCATTCGTTGTGTTCTTCATGTCCCATTTTTATCTTTCCAAATTTATTTCACTGGATTATACTCGAATAACATCTTCAAACCGTAATCTTCCCGATTACTGCTTATACTTTTACTACCTCACTACGGGGTTTGGATCGACAGTTGTTTCTCTGTGCTAATGTAGTATAGAAAATGTAGTATGGACTGATGTACGTACGTACGAAGTTCTACGTTGTTGCTAAGTGACTGACATATTAATTGACTTCACACTCTCCGCCGCCGGCACTCATATAGCTGCCCAAATACACGAAATTCTCAACTATTATCTGTTTACTAACAAGAGTAAGTGGAGGTTCCGGGTGCTGATAGTCTTGTAAAAGTACTTTGCACCTTCACATAAAAGCTGCTACACCTGCCAATATCACAGAATCAGCATAAACGCCTAAAGTGCGACTAATACCACTTCTTGTATATGTATTTATCGTGTCAAAAGTCAGTATTTTATGTACTGTTATATTCATACTCCTGTGATACTGTTGCATGTACTACCTAAATGTTCAAATGTAAATATATTTTCCTATAGATGTTTCATGTGTCTAGATAAATTTTAATTAAGCCGCTGTCCCTATCGTCAAATTGGATAACTGAGTCACATCGGCTGTTTGTGTATGCGATTGAAAAACGTTTGGAATCACTGTCAGTTTGAAAACCTCTGCTTTTATCGAAATAAGTGTAGTTTGAAACTTTTGAACGAAAGCTTACGAAATTATTATATTACGTTACGATAACTATCAAAATGTTCACTTACCTAACTATAAAACAGTTAATAAGATGATTTTCTATTCTTATTAACAGAAGCAAATCAACCGTCATTTCGTGAAACTCATTTCGAATTCATAAAAAGGTGAGTGCAAAGTAGATATTTTTGTACCAGCAGTATGCTTTGTATATTTTGCTTTGGCATAAATTAACGAAGCAAATATTATTGTTTTGATGTGACGTTTACGTTGCCTTTTAACAGCATCACTTCAAACTAGAAGATCTTACAAGTATTGTGATAATCAAAACACTAACATTGCTCACTTATCTTATGGGTTATTCCCAAACGCAGCTGAAACTAAAGGATGCTTGAGTAGTTATCGTACCTTAGTCTAACAAACGCACTAATAAGTAATAGCAAACTGAAGAAGGTGATGTTATGTGTGACGGAATTAAAATACAGTCCCTATACTGTACCTTTATTAAAGCATTATTCCAGACAGATTCATATTACATAGAAATTATTAAGGGATATGTGTAGGTGCAGTGTCCCGAAAAAATTGGGTTTTTGTGTCAATGGCTAATGTAACGTTGTCGCACCTTTTATTCTTTTAGGCCTATCGACATGTTGTAACTGACCGAATCTAATGCGGTAGTTCTATTTCAATATGCACATCCATCACAACTATTTAGGTATTCAGAATTAATGAATTACGTATCACTTGAATATTTATTAGTCCAACTTGACATATTTTTCTCCAGTTAGTCAGTGAGTTCTCTTATCTGTACTTCTCAAGATATAATTGTAGTATCCTAAAACAAACGTTTCTGTACCTTATGTTCGTGATTTTGAAATGGTATTTCTGTAAACACCCTCTTCAGTGAACCCAACTCCATGTTTGCAATCACATCCGGAGACAATAGTCCATTGAATTCTCTTATTATAATATCAAGATCTTAGTTGTTAAAAGTGTGTCTAGATATCCTCCATTCTGGTTAGTTAGATCCTCGTTATTATAAACCTCACTATCTTCCGTTGGTTCACTACCACATATTTTTACGAGTCGTATCTAGTTGCTGGTTGTAACTGTTCATCTCATTCACATATCAGACATTAATGCTTTATCTGGTAGGGAAGTAAAATCTATTTCACGTCGAATTTATTTCCTCACCACTGTTAGCAGTGGGGGCAAAACCAATTTTAAATATACTTTCTGGCATAAATTCTACATTATGAACACCAATTTTGTATATTTTTGATCAATCTGATTAAATAGTTTGCAGTTTACTGTTGTACGCACCTGATGACGTAGATCGTTTTCAAAAATCAGTAAACTTTAATATTCAAAAATATCGCACCATATGTCTGTCGTATTTCGCCTACTACCTACGTGTTTTTCTAAACAAAGAAACAAGATGATTAATTATTGGTGTGTATCTCATGCGTAACTATGACCTAGAACGTAGATATTTTTCATTTCCTATTGGGTGTGTCTGACCTTAACCTGAATATTGGAGGGGGTCGTCAGGTGACTAATTTGTACGGTGTATGTCCGTTCGCCTATTATTCTTAACCTAGTAATAGGATGCCTTTGGCCTAGGTAATGTCGTCATCTATTGTCAGACAATTTTAGGGTCAATTCATTTTTTGTGGATTGCTATGACATGCTGTGATTATAGCTATAAAATAATGTAAATGAAGTGGCCGAACCATGTCTGTATATAAAAAGGTTCAGTTAGTCAAATAATGTTTTCTGGGTCTAAACTTTAAACTAAGTATGCTGCACTTCTGAAATCATTCATTTATACACAACACAGGACCTGATATAAACACTGATAAACTGCATCTTTTTAGCGAGAGAAAACTGAAAGCAAAAGTAGTGTTAGTTGTAGTAAAAAATATGGGTATACTGAAAATAGTTAAGAAAGAACAAAATAAATTAAAGGATAAAACAAATGAAGTTATAAGTAAATTCAAGAATAAGTGAACTGAATACACATATACTGATGCGGCGAATTTTAACACATGGCACCGAACGACTCTAACTTAGAAGTTTGAGCTCCCGTTCAGAGCTCAGAATAGCATTGGATGACTTTCTGAACTGATGTTGTTGGTTTGACCGTTATTAACTGTCGACTTCCGACTACTATGATAGCCTCCATTACGTATTAGAATCGAGAGTGGCTGGACATGTGTAACATGTATGAAAATGACCCCGTTAACATATTTTTCTTGGTTTCACTAAACCCAAGCAGCGTTTTGGAAATATCTGTTGTCAAAATTAGTTACCTACATGTGCTCTTTGCCTTCAAAACCCATGTTTAACAGCCAAAACGTTGTTCAAAGTGAACTACACAATACACTGGCCATTTAGTCGTAATGACTACTAACTGATAACCACGGTGGTTTATAGCTTATGTGACCAAAGTCAGTCAGCAAAGTTATATAACACAGTCAGTATTCCAAATAAATCGATTTTGGGACGCAGAATGTTCAGTAATGTTGCTAGCCATTGGGCGACCAGTTAACGCTTTGTTGGGATAACTCTCTCTCAACTTCTATTCAGACGCGGATTTCAGAGTGCAACTTCGAAAGTACTATTAAGCTTTTCATTTCAAAATAAATGGTACTTCATGCATAAGTCCGACAACCTATTAATACCCCTTGATCTACTTGTTGTACATAATTTTCGTTGTAAAGTGATAATATCAATTAATTCAAACCATTTTTTGTTTATATTTCTAGTCACACTAAATCAGATACAATAGTAACCAATGGAGGTAGTCATTTAACAGAATCTTCGATTGTTGAGGTTACCAACCCATTTCAGGTGGAGGATGAAGGTTTCGTTGAGGAGTTAATTGACTATGCAACTAACCATCATCTTGTTTCTTATTCTTTTCCCACGAATACGTCAAATATTCTGTCCTCTAGTTCTACTGAGCACTTAATCCAATCTAGACCTATTTACGAATCACGAATAATCAGTCCCACATGTCCGCTAAACTCCACAAAAGATCAAATGGCTGCATTAGGGTTGAATCACTCTGTGTCCAATGCTTTAAAACTTCAAACAAATCCTATTAAAGTAAGTAAATCATCTGCACCATTTTTTGGTTACATGGGCTACTTAATTCAACGGTAAATAATCATTCACTAGATTGTCTCAGCTAATTCATTTTCAACCCATATTTTGATATAGAATTGAGAAATCACATCTCCATGGAGTTTCGTTTACTAAATAACCTTGAGAAATGCTTTATCGAATGACAATTTTTAACACAAGAGTTACAGTTGTTGTTAACCGTTGCTTTCTATAAAGCTCCTGTTTTTTGTAATATTGTGTTATGCAACCATGCTAACTACTTTGTTACCGTATATTGTTATGGTGTCAGTATTTATAGTTTGTTCCAGATTAATTTGTTTGTCTGTTTACCATATGAAACTTCAAGGTACTAGCTTAATTCGTATCCACATCCCTGATAATAAAATACACAGTATTCATAATTATCGAGTGATTTATATGCACTCAAAGTACATGAAAAGTCCCTTAATTCGATCAGCGTAAATGACCATCTCTGGACTTAATATTAAGAGGTGGATTTACCCAAAATCTTTCGTAGAATGTTACTTCTGGAAGTTAAAAAGGACTTGAAATGACTAAATTGTAGAATGTAATTCGAAGTCATGATTGCTTTGATCTTGAGTAACTTTAATTAACAGAAACCGGTGCATTTGAACAAGATTTATTATGAATTGTATTAATTGTATTTAAACTATTATCATACGGTTGGTTCGTTATGAATAACTAATCCATTTTATAAATTTTGTCAAATATAGATATTATTTTCATTTTTACTCCTATCTATAGTCAAGAATCCCTAATATTTGTTGGTCTTATATGTGTACACTTATACGTATCAACATATTCGTTTTTTAACAAAATAACTAAGTTGTTATGGAAAATTTTAACAGTATTACTTCTTTATGATGGAACATATATCCATGCGACAATAATTGTACTTTACAAAATAGTATCCCGAGAACTATGGAAAATGAGATAGTAAACATACTGGAGTCGAAAATTCGATTCACTAGATTCTGAGTTATTAATCTTAGTTTCTATCGCATGTGGATTTGTGAATACAGATGATTTTTTTCGCCGGCTGATGAAAAATATCTGTGCATTAATTTTCAGTCTCAAACCACATATCTAAATATAAATGTAATTAAATGGGGTCAACCTTCAACTGAAATATATATATTTTTGTATATCTTGCGGGTTTATTCACCCATTTACCAACTACTTACTCGTATAATTGCTTTCGAGGTAAATAATAAGCGTAAGGACTAGTGATATTACCCGAGCGCCCAGACTGAAGCAGAGGGTGAGCAGAATTCGAACTGACGACTTAGTGGCTGAAAAGCTCTCTACTACCTCATGGGTTCCTATAGATCCATCTGCTCATTATCCAGTATGTATATAATTTGCAAACAATTGTTTTAGATATTGATTCCTAAGCAATGTTACGACCTTGTACGTGACACCAATTTATCTATAATTAATTAAAGTTAGTATAATTCCCCCAGAAATACATAATTCTATAACTCATATAATACTGCTAATTTGTAAAGCTTCAAGGTCCGGTATCTTCGTGTTAAATAACATACTCAAATTCGAACTCCTGAGAAATGTCAGTCATGTAAAATATCCCTAAAGTAATGGTCAGGTATTATTTGGTTACAATAGTCACCTACATAAGTGTGAAAGGTTGCTCTAAAATTATTCTTATTATACTAAGAATTTCGAGCTGAATATACCGAAAATAACAAAAGTACAGATCCTTTGGAAAAGTATTCCCATTTGTTACATTCCTGAAAATATATTTACTTAATTTTCTTTTTTTCGTTACAGTGCCCTGTTAAAGAAAAGACACTAAGAAATGTGCGACTAACTAATACAGAACAACATGCTCGAAGTATGAGTCCATCTAATCTTACTGACACATATCTATCTTCAAAAGATACAAATGATCTTATCGACGAAGATGATATGGAGGGTACAGATCTACTTCATTTAATCAGCAATTCATTAGATCGATTTAATGCTATTGTTCACCCACGAGATAATATATCAACATTAACATCTGGTTTAGGTGAATCTAGAAATATTTTATCAGAATCTGAGAGTAGTAATAGTTACTCTCAAGATTGTCTATTTCCCACTGATATTGTTACAAAACCTACTACAATATTATCTGCTGATAGAGTGAGTTTCTATAATTTGTTTATGATTGGTATTACTATGATTATGAGTATAATTGTCCTTCGTCAATTTGTTCCTTGAAAGTATAGTGTAGAAACTGTTTTCACTAATCATTAATTCACATCATCATGGTATCTTGACTTCTGTCACTATAGTGTATTTCATCACAAGCCCTCGTGGAATTAAAGTGTGGCTAGAAGCAAAGCAAATTAATGTGGTTATATATGTATTCAGAGAGAGATTCGTTGTACTACATTAGTTTGAAGTAACAGACTACTAATTTGCTTTTTCTTTTGTTTTGAAACAAGGTACATTATATTATTTATTCATTTTCTCCTGTCAGTGCTAAAATAAACAATAGGGATATCCTCACCAAATAGAAATAGGAAATATGTTTATCAGAATCTAGTTTCAATTGAGTAAATGAGTTACCTAAACCGTTTTCAGTATACATGTAAGCAATCTTTCTCTTTAACTCGTATATGCACCTTTCGTTTTTTGCTGAGAAAGTAGTCTATCTACTGACCTTGATAATCAGGTTTAGAAAAGGCTTATTGTGTAGTTAGAAATGTATGTTATCTATAGTCTTTGTTAATGGCATCAAGTTATAATTTTTTGTTGGTATATATATGAGTTGTAACATAATTGAATACACACCCACTTAAATTTTCTGTGCAACTACTTCGTCTGTATAAATGGTTAGATAATCACTGTTAATGAGATTGGTAAATTAAATTTTGCAGCTTGACAAAGAAACCACTTTTTCATTCAAACATCAATATTCTATATAAATTATTATTGGTTGTTGATTCACCACTTTGTTCATTGACAAAAAGGGTAATTCATGGTTCATGGCGACAGGTCATATCAGTACAAGATTACGTTTAGCAAACTAACCTTTAAATTCCCCAGATTCAGTAAAAGTTCAAATATGGTTGAGCAAACCTTTGTGGTCCATAATATTAACCATTTGTAACTAACGGATTTCATCGTTTCTATCACTCCGTCCACATATGTCAAGATCCAATTAGAATAATATTTCTTCGTTTAACAGCGGCTATTTGATTTCTTTGATTTAAAAAAATCATATGACAGTGTCTGTCATTGGAAGATGAACTAAGAAGTACACTGACTTACTGGAGGCCTTTTGTTAGATGGGACACAGAGCTCTGCTTGCTGGAAATGCAAGCAAAATACATAGTCGTTTAAAAGCCTTATGTAACAATGAAAAACGATCATACCGGACTAGTCTTCTCCGATGCCCAGTATAAACCCCACTCACTCACTTATGCCTGCTACTACGAATCGGTTATAGACAGTCGATCAGGGATCTCGAAACAACTTTTACCTGAGCTCTCCTCAGTTGTTGCAATCTTTTCTTATTCTTCATATCTGGCTTCAGTTCCCGGCATCATGTATTGTTTGATCTGCCTCTTTTTCTGACCTTGAAACTTCCAAATTAAGTGTTACTTTGTGATTTCCGCAAGTGTGTCCTATCCACCTTCAACGTCTTTTCCTAATTTCCTCTTCAACTGGGGGCTGGTTTGTTCTCTAACATTATCGGTGGTTTCTGATCGTCTTTGGCGAATGAGTCCGGAATATCTCGCGTAAACAGCTGTTTATAAATATCTATACTTTTTGGTTATGGTTATAGCAGTCCTCCACATTGCAGATTTATGCAGTAGAACTGTTTCAAAGTTGGTGTTGAAAACTGTGACGTTATTGTTGTCTAACAGTTCTTTTGAATCCATATATTCTCCAATTTTAGAAATGCTGACCTTGGTTTACTAATTCGCAACATGGGATTTGCATAAGATCCTCCTTGTTTATCACTGATGTCGTCCAGTTACATAAAGGCATCGATCTCCCCCACAACTTCACCATTAAGTGGTTCTTTAAATCACATTGGTGGTATTCCCTGCGTTTATGGGACATTTCCTTCCGCATGATCACGTTACGAGTTTCTTCCCCCTTTTGTCTAATGAGTTTCACGTATCCCAAGTATAGACAGACTGCATTGTCTTCATTGTGTGGTTATTCTAATGACTCTCCCGGTCTTCCACATTGTTCGAAAGTTTTGTGTACCTATATTAATTGTTGCTCTGGTTGTCAGAGAGGCCTCTTGATTTCCAAAGAATCTCGGTTCCTATCATTAGGCGTGATAACTTTTGTATATGAAGACCCTTCAACATCTAAGAGACCTTTTAAATAGTTTGATTTATTTTTTTCTGGTTGGCGTGTTTTTAGTGAGTTTCCCTTTTACGAGATGGGGTCGCTAACTTTACACTTAAGCCTCCTACTTTTCACGGACTTGCAACAACTCTAGAGGACCCCAGGTGGAGTTCTAGCCTAATTATAGGGAGCTAAGTATATGTGCCTTAGGCAATTCGCTGTTTTGAAGTCCCATCTCATGGTGAGTTGTTGAATAACAAACTCTCAGTGAACATAGAGAAGAATGTGCAATTTTTATCAACTTCATCTTTGGTATATACGAGATGTATGTCTACGTAAATGTGAATGCTTTATGCTAGTTTAAGACTTAGAACCTAATGAATGTGCAAAGAAATATAAATGAGGAGTATTAAAAACCTTAGGTTAGCAAGAAACTTTCCTAATTTAAGTACCGTTACTTCAACGTATGATACGTATAATGTGATGTAATTCCTATCACATTCATTTATGATAACCAACTGGTCAATATTCAGTTGCTATTTAAAAACTTTCTTACTTTAAAAAGTGTGTGATTTCAGTTATTTTGTATTTTCACTCAAGACAATTTGAGTTAATGTACTTACGGACTATTTTTTCCATGGTTATAAATAAGTTTAGACGTTTCATTCAAGTGATTCAACTCTTCCTTCTATTATATAAAGAAGGAATCACATTATTCCATAGAATTCTGTAAACTGAATAAAATCTTTCATGGTATACATTTCACTCTTGTAATGTACTTACTCTCAAGATGTTGAACTATTATCTAAATGTTTTATATTCTCAATAAACTGTAAATCATACGTTTATTTTTTGTATTTTATCTATGTATTCTTTCAATTACCAATTTTTGTTTTGATATGACTAGATAAAAAGGTAACATTTGAAGTCAGTATTTTTTAAATCACTGTTATTATATTCTACAGTTTAAAATGTATCTTACACAGTAAATTTCGTACTCGAAGATCATATTAACTCGTTAATCTTTTTTGCTTTTAAGTTTTTGTCAGTTTACAGTTATTGGAAAATCTGTCATACTGTGTACATGTGAAAATTTTTCTGTTTTCATCTTGTTAGCATAATTATCACTGTACAATTGTGATTTTGAAAACAGCCTTATTTTAAAATGCTTTATTCTTATTCTTTGTGTGTTGTTGACCTTATGTTTATACATTCCTACCTTAAGCTCTTTATCCATCTGGTATACACAACACAGATGACCTTAATTGACCTAAATATTAAGGTCTTTGTTTAATTCCTATCTCCACTCCTCAACAATTTTTCTTTTCCTATACTCTTCTAAAAATACATAAAATTTGCCCAGACTGAATTTATAATCATTTTAATGGAAAATGTATTTATCTATAGGTAATATGTGTGTTTATGTGTGTGAATTAAACTTATTTTAGCTTTGTATTAAAGGTTAACTAGTCTTTGTCAATTTTATTTCATTGTTCCACTTTAAATCCTGGTAAAAAAAACGGATGAAATAAACCGTTCTACAATATTACTCTTGTCTATTTATTTGTTCTTTAGTTTATTTTTCATAAATTGTCAAAGAATCAAGTATTGTAATTCATGTGTTCTTTTTTTAATAGTTGAATTTATGAACCAACTGAAAACCTGGAGGTACTGGATGGCCATTTCGTCCTATTATGGGACTCCTCGGCAGTGCTCATCCACAATCCCAGGACTTCTGGTCTCGCACTCAAACGCTTAACCTCTAGGCCACTGGACTGGCACCCAACGGTGTTAATGTCTAACCCCAATCAATCAGTGGTTTTGCGCAATATGGGATTGTGGAGATTGTTGAGTTTTTGATTGGAATCACAAGTCGATCAATGTTAGACCAGCAGTGAAAACTTGGAAGCACGACTCATGAATTCAATTATTAAAATGACTAAAATCTCCACAAATTCCCATTGTTTTTTTTTTTACAAAAAAGATGACTCCATGTAATATCGTTTGCTATTTCTTATGCTTTTTATTATAGGAATGTAAATTCTCGAATATGATGAATATAGGCAATAAATTAGTCCAGAAACACTTTAATCATTCATCGTTGTTAATTTTGGATTCTGAAGTAGAACAAGCTGATAAACTTTTGGAAATAAATAATTCTTCATATACGACTACTACAACAAGGTAATCTAATCAGGTGATTTATTTCGTCATTAGAATCAATGGTGATATATATTTTTGAATGTTGATTGTTCATTTCTTCCTTTAATGTATGTAATTTTTCTGTATTCTTATGAATTTTTTAGAATATGATGTTTTCTATAATCTTATTAAAACTATTAATATGAATTTTTTTAAAAAAGGTTTGTATTGGAGGTAATTTCCCGTTGGATGTTAAGTTCCAGATATTGTTTCCGCGTAACCAATATAAGTCAATTCTACATTCTGATGTTTCATATTAACTTTTGCAGCGCTTATTATAAATTAACTACTGATTAAAGTGTAGTTCTTACTTTCAATTAACTTTGTCTTAGTTCAGTATTTTTGTAAGTTCATTTCTAAGTTGTATCCCTCTAAACTTTGTTACAGGCAAAGTTTTTTGTTGAAATGGATGTTGAATAGATTTTTGATACTGTCATCATCGTACTCTTTACAAGTACACATTATTATTTACTTTATTTGGACTTCTTGTCTTAACCTCTTCATCTAACCTCAACATTGTCCATTTCTTGGTCTCGTCCAGTCTTTTACTCGTTATTGGGTGTTATTATTTTTGATAATGTTCACTGATCATCTGAATATTTTAATACGAAAATTTTCTTTGTTATTCTGAATAACGTTAAAGTACATTTCAAATAAATAGGCGTAGTTGTTACACTGTATTAGTTTAAATTACATAAAACAGGAAATACCTTATTATGATTTTTATCTTTCATCATTCACTTATTTACGAGTGCTACACAAAATGCTTGAGAGGGATAAAGAGATAAACAATTGATTCACTTTATTTTTTCGTTACTCACTCGTCTTATTATTGCGTAATCACCAGAATTAAAAGGAGAGCTTGTGTTTTTGCTAGCAGACCATATGTTTCCAATCGTTATGAATTTTCGCTCGATGATCTTTTTAATTATTACTATTAATTCATTTTGTATCTTTCCACTAATGTTTAGGTCTTTTATTGGCATATGTGCATCCTGTGCGGATCGCCTCGATATTGCCTTAAGTCACAAGTATTGTAAGCAAAGGTGGATAGTGGCTAGCAGTGAAATCCAGGACATGCGTTTCGTCCTACCTAGGACTCATCAGCTGGATGTACCTGCATCCCAGAATCAGTGTCCACCCAGGGACTCAGACCTAACACCGTTCTCCTCAAACCACCGCGTTATCCACTTAGCTGTTGAGTGCTGATAGCTTATTACTACCAATATCTTGTTCTGTCTTTTGTTCATTATTTATTTTTGTATGGACTGAATTGTTCCTGACTTTTATTGATGATATTTCTATTCGTAATAAGTACTTTAATCGAGTTCAATTGTGTGCTGTACTCGGTTTTGAGACACATCTTCATGTGTGATCACTAGTACTACTACTTGATTGTCCTGATAAAAGCTGGTAAAAAGATGACTTAGTCGTTAAATTACTAAAAATATGAACTCTAGGTTCGTGTTCGACTCCCCCCACTTTACTTGCTTCATTTTAAGTAACTTTCACTCATAATAATGTGACTAAAAGTTAAGTAAGTATACAATTGATAAATAATTTAACATTGCATTTCTTTATTTTGAAATTATCTGATTGATGATGTACGTATGTATTCGTATTTTGGTTTAGAATTTATCGTTGATTTCTGCATACAAAAAGTAACAAATGTTGTACAAATAGCTTGTTTGTTATATCTAAAAAATATCGAAGTAAATGAATTTGAGTTGTTTATTCCTTGAAGAGAAACTAGGCGAACCAAAAAGTATCAAGGGAAGTGGTGTTATCATATCTGAAATAAAATGATCGATAAGTATATCAACAATGAAATTAAATTTCTGTAAAAAACTGTCATATCGAAACATATTCAATATAGTTGTTTTGTGTTAATTTCCATTTGTGGAAAAATTCAGGAGGAAGACTAATAATAGTAATATCATTGGTTTTTTGCTTGATAAAGATTCTTAATAATAATGCACTAACATTAAATGATTAATCAATTTATGGTACTTGTACGAACTTGTGATTCGTTTATACTCGATTGCCCGCTGATTACGAATTCTAAATATAATATGTTCATTTGTGGCCATTTAGTTTTCCTCCCTTAAATTGTGGTATTTCGGGAATGCCCAGTCAGTACATTATTTCGAATACTTCTAATTATCATACAATTATCGGATTCTTCATTTAATCAACTTTGCATAAAAGAATTTCAGTTAAATTTCTTTTTAAAGTATTCTGTAAACAATTGAATAATGATTAATATGAACAGTAGTTGGATATAAAATGTATGATTTTTTTGCTATGACGATTAAACGGATATCTTCTGTAGCCTCACAATCATTGATTGTGTACAATTCTGCGGATAGCTTTGATTGGTCAGATATCCCAATGGACATCATCTAAAAACCATGTAGTCTTCTTTCGTGCTTTAATGACTATTAGTTCTTTTAAAGTTGTTCGGATCATATTTTTAAGTATATATTTTAGCCTGAAGGCGTAATATCAGATTTCCATTTTTCATATAGGGATCTTGTCGATTCCATCAAAATTCATGATTATGGTTGTTTACTTAAAAAAAACTCAATGTATTCAATTTAGATGGTGTAAGGAAGGTGCCTAAAACAATAAATTCCACGCGTATAGATATTTGTTTACAATTATGTAATGAATTAGTTTGTCTTTTTTATTTTCTTACCTCTAGTTCATCTTTTGGGCGTTTACCACTATCATTATCGTACTCATACTCAAATGAGGTAAGAGAAATAAACAAAAGCATTAATGTCTGTATTTTTTTAGCATTCTCCCCCCTATTTATTTACTTTATTTGTATTTTGGACACATAAATATTGGTACAAGAGTGCGCCAAATATATATGCGCCACACAAAACAATGAGAATTTAGGGGGAAGGCGAAAAAAGAGAATAATAACGAAGAGATTGGTGTAGGGTAGTGTAATAATAATCATAGTAATAATGGGGGAACGGAAAGGTACAATCAGAAGAAATCTTTCAGTTAAATAAGATACAACCACTTTTTACGAAGAAAGTAAAAGAAGGTTACAGCAGGATCGCCACTGACTTCTATTCTGAGGCATATCTGACAACGTCTCTAGCCAGTGTGTTGCACCATCTCTCGGACCCCAACCAAGGAGTCGTGAAGGACCAACACAGGCCAGTCCTTTGCAGCTTTCTTTCACACCACGACACCATGTCATACACTGACCACCTCTCCGCTTTCTCCAACCGGTCCCAGAGTCAGCAAATAATGCACGACGTGGAATTCTCTGGGACGACATTCGTAGAACATGTCCAAGCCACCGAAGTCGGTGTTTTAAGATGGTGACATCAATTGAATTATCATCTCTGTGCCCGAACACACGATGCCGAACCTCTGCATTACTGACATGGTGTTGCTACTGGATGTCAGCAATCCTTCGGAAACAACGATGATCGAACACAGAGAGTCGTCTAACATCCTCAACTCGGAGAGGCCAGGTTTCACAAGCATAGAGCAAAACTGCTTTCACCGACGCGTTGTAGATCCGACCTTTTACAGTCAGACTAACATCACGAAGGCGCCAAAGGTGGCCCAGATTGGCATAAGCCGCTCTGGCTTTCACTATACGTGCATTGATCTCATCACTCACACTCCCACCAGCACTTATGCAGCTACCCAGACACACGAACTTCTCGACTACGTCTATCTGCTCACCATCCAGGGTGAGTACAGGATTGGAATCCTGCCAGTCTTGTAGGAGTACTTTGCACTTGGAAGGTGCAAAGCACATACCATACCTACGGACACTGATTGCCAACTGATTAAGTGCGGATTGCATGCCTTGGGCATTATCGCACGGTAAGACAATATCGTCCGCATACTCAAGGTCGAGAAGTCTTTCTCCAGGCAACGTATCCACACCGCCACTACTTACATCCATCAGAGCTGTTTCCAGAATGTCATCGATGACAAAGTTGAAGAGTGATGATGATATTGGGCAACCCTGCCTAACCCCACTGCTCGAATGGAACAATGGAGAGAGGTGGTTGTATGCCCTCTCTCTAGTTCCCACACCTTTGTAAACAACGTCGTCAATTCCTTAGTCAAAAAGTCACCACTATCTTTAAAAAGAGCCGGAGTAACTCACCTGGACCAGGTGATTTGTAACACTTCAAGAGTTGGAGTTCCTTGCGGACTTCCTCCTCGTTTGGTGGATCAGTCGTCACCGGCCATGGAGGGCAGGACAATTTGACCGATGTTGCCGGAGCAGCAGGCCAGTTAAACTGCGCTTCGAAAAATTCTGCCCATCGTCCAAGACGTCGATGGATGTTAGTGATTGGCATCCCATCATCCTCGCAGATTGTTTCGCTCACACCAGACTTCTTGCTGCCAGTGGCTCGGATGAGTTGGAAGAGCTTCCGGTAATTACCAGATGCAGCTGCTGCTCCCAGCTCATTAGCACGCTTCGACCACCAGGCTTCTCGGTCCTTACGCAAGCTTTGCCCGATTTCCTTACATAACATCCTTCGTTTGTGGTCGAACTCACGGTCACTCGGAGTAGACCGACGGGCTTAAATGAGTTGTAAGGAACCAGGAGAAACCCAGTGCTTATGAGCGGGACGTTTCGCGAACCCACAACTGACTGTACCCGCCATTTTCATGGCGTCAAGCAATTGCAACCAATGCTCATCTATACTTTTCGATGGAATGGTAGCTAGCCTAGAAGCTAGCTCGATTCGATACTTACTTGCAACAGAAGTTGCAACCAGCTTGCTAACATCAATCCGTTGATGGCGGTCACTTCGTTGTCCACTGAAAAGTAAGGCAAGATTGGCGCAGACCAAGGCATGGTCAGAGTCCAGATAGGTACTCCAAAAGGAGCGGCAGTCTTGTACACAACCACGCCAGCGGTAGCTGATCGCGATGTGATCAATCTGAGTCTAGGCTTGGGATGCAGAGGGAGGACGCCAGGTGGCACATCGGCGATGACTGTGCCGGAAGGTCTAATCCACAAGGCAGTGGAGCATCGTGAGGAGATGCAGTCCGTTGGAAGCCGGTGACCGAAAGTTGGTTCTTACGCCATTTGTTCCCTTAGGATAGTGGAGCGCACGTGCACCATTGATTTGGTTTGGGATCCGGTTAAAGTACCGGACATTCGCTTTTCGTCTTCTCATTTTCGTAAACCACACCCCCGCCACGAGAAGGCAATGAGTAGGACTTCCCTGGCAGAGGCTGTATACGCGTGGCCATGTGAGAGTATTTCGAGAGGGAGGGCGAACCCACCTCGCTCTCGGCCATACCAGGGCATTTGGGGGCTAGTTTTGTTAAATTCGTTTATGTATATACACGATTTATCAGTGAATTCCGAAAACTAAACATGTTAAACAATTTAATAAATTATGATATAATATATATCACAAGTGTTTTTTCCTACAGGTCCCTTTAGCTTCTTGTCAACCGAATACGACATACTATTCCAATATTCCATCAACTATACCAATCGATGTTACTGTTCCCGCTGTCACTAAATATATTGTGCCACCAACCGATTCTATACAAGCTAAAAACGTTCTTACGGATAAGTCAAAATCATGTTGGCCAACTTTACCTATTAATGTAACTCAACATAATCCAAAAGTGTTAACTTCATCCACAGAATCAAACAATTTACTTGTTGAATTAATTAACAATAACCGAAATGTGTTAACTGATAATGATATAGAAATGTTAAATTATTTAAATTTGGATTTAAAAAATCTTTTATGTAATGTTTCAACTACTAATACCACCAATACAACTGCTGTTTATACAACTTTAGTTGATTCACCTTCTCTTCATCATAGTAGTGTTAATAATAACAAATGTAACTCAATGGGTTTATTTGTTAATCGAGACGAAAATCTATGGAATCATAGTAAATCATTTCAATCCAATATGTCGTTAATGCATAAGACGCAACCACTAAGACATCCATCTCAGTCACCTCAAACAACAAGTCTACCGCCATTATCGAAAATATTTCTTCAGCATTCTAATACTGTGTCATCAACTCCCGTAGATGTAATGAAATATGAATGTTTAAATGATGATTCAGATAAATTTCGAATGAATTCATCTGATAAAATGATATTTAATACGAAATGTATTAATAACGCAAATAACAAACGTAATGATAATTTTATCGCATCGTTCTCATTAACATCAGTAAATAATTCTACTGGATGGTCGAAAGGTACGAGTTTATTTTTTAATAATGTATGTTTTCCTTGTGCAATTTTTATTTATTAAATAATGAAAGTTAATTTATTGACTTGGACTGTCAAATGATTCATTAGTTCATTGCATTTGAATGGATATCTATCCCGAACTAAGTAATAAAGTAAGCGTTCTCGTAGAAGGTTTTAAAGTAAAAATACTATTTATTGGTTATTTAAACTGAAGCAGGTGAGCTGATGTCTGGTTTTATGATGCAGTAGTTCTTTTTTTTACAACATTCAACTGGCCTTCTAAACACTGACTGAACGGGACGTTCGAGGTTTAAAAAACTTGATGCTATAATTTGGTGTCTAATACTACAGTCAATCAATACAAATTTTTAAAGCTTTAATCTGATAGCGAAAGCGAGTCGATATGAGGAACTATATTGACTGTGTAAGGCAAGTGACTGAGTTATCAAAAGTAATGCATATGTATAGGATTTTCCTACTGGATTATTATCACAGAATATTACTACTCTCTGGAGGTATAGCGATTAAATAAATTGTGACTCAAAGCAATAAATCATTCTTAAAATCACCCTACTCATTGAACTATACCACTCAACCATTTATGTCTTAAAAAATTCGCAAGTATTCTAACTATGATATTACTGGTCGTCTAAAGTTATAAATGCAAATAAATGAGTTTCAACTCTGTGGTCTGAAGATTTTTTGTTTGCCACAAGACTTAAAGGTTCTGGTTCGCGATCCACAACGGCGTCATAGATGCCTAATATTAAAAAGGCTCATATTAAAATGAAACAGCTATTTATTTCTTGTTGGTTCTCAATGGTTGTTCAGTTTAATTCAGTCCGTGACGTAACCTAAATATTTAAGAAATACTTGGTGTCTCTTTTAAACTCTGTAGGGAATAACATACGTGTAACATAATGAAGTGCATCAGTCAGTCAGTCAGTAACAACGTAGGACTTCGTACGTACGTACATCAGTTCGAGTTGCCACACCACATTAGCACAGGAATGCAGTTGTCGATTCAAATCCCGTAGTGGTAGAGGTAATAAGAGTATAAGCAGTAATCGGGAAGATTAGGGTTTGGAGATGTTATTTAAAGAGTATAATCCAGTGAAAGAAATTTGGAAAGAGGAAAAAAGGGACATGAAGAATTCAGAAGATTAGAATTTGGGAGAACGCAGAGAGTGGATGCACCTGCGCCATTGCAAACGATTTTGAGCCATGTCATTCAGGGTCTCTAACCATCGGTTGCTGTCATCTCGCGGTCCCCAACCAGGTAGTCTACACCTACCAACATGACTCAGTTCACTTGTCAGTGACTTCATGGACTTGTGCCATGTTTTGGTTTGGCCGCCCCTAGCTTTCTTCCAACCTACTCCTATACCACTGAACATAGCACGTCGAGGCAGTCGGTCGTTGGGCATACGTAACACGTGTCCCAGCCATCTCAACTGATGAAGTTTCACTACTTCATCAATTGATTTGCCATCCTTACCTAGTACCCGTTTCCTAACAACTGTGTTACTTACTCGATGGTCCTATGATATACGAGCAATGTTTCGAAGACACCTATGATCGAATACTAGTAACCTACGGATATCCTCTACTCTTACCGGCCATGTTTCACTGCCAGAGAATAGGACGGAACGAACTGCTGCGCAGTAAACCTGTCCTTTGGTTGATAGACGGATATCTCGCCTACACCATAAATGACGCAAGTTGGCAAAAGCTAGTCGAGCCTTCTGTATCCGTGCTGAGATTTCGTCACACACTAAACCACAAGGGCTGATGAGACTTCCAAGATAAGTGAAGCGGTCGACACACTCAACTACTTCACTCCCTATCACTAGTTCGGGTGTCGATGTAACCCAATCCTGAAGCAACATTTTGCATTTCGAGGGAGAGAATCGCATCCCGAACATGCTTGCATTGTTGCTTAGAGTGGTCAGAAGACTCTACATTTTGTCAGCGTCTTCACCAAATAAAACTATGTCATCTGCATATTCTAAGTCAACAAGTGAACCTCCCGGTAGAAGTTCAACCCCTGTAAATTTAGATGAGGAGAGTGTTATCTCTAAAAGTACGTCAATGACGAAGTTGAACAAGAATGGGGAGAGTGGACAGCCCTGACGAACACCACTTGAGGTAATCAATTCTGATGACAGTTCGCCATAAGCTCTCACTCGACCAGTTGTGTTCGAGTAGAGAGCCTTTATAAGGTTAATGTACTTCTTTGGTACTCCTTTCAGTGACAAACACTGCCATAGAACCTCACGATCAATAGAGTCGAATGCCGCCTTAAGGTCGAGAAATACTACCATTGTGGGGCGTCTGAACGAGTGTCTGTGTTCTAGAACCTGACGTAGTGTGAATATCTGATCTATACAACCACGTCCAGGTCGAAAACCAGCCTGGTTTTCTCTAGTCTGCTCTTCACGAGCTTTAGTTAGGCGTCGAAGTATTATTGAAGCTAATATTTTAGACACTATATTAGTCAAACTGATTCCTCTGTGATTGTCACAAGAGGACTTTTTTCCTTTCTTATAGACTGGCACAATCAGTGATTGAGACCAGTCAGATGGGATTACGTCCAGTTCCCAAATTCTACCTAAGACCTCGGTTAATCTCATTGCTAATACTGGACCACCATCCTTAAAAATCTCAGGAGTAAACCTGTCAGGGCCTGCTGCTCTCCCTCGCTTCAGATTTCCTATGGCTTTTTCAACTTCGTAAAGGGACGGAGGACTTACACTAACTTGCCATTCAGGTTGACTGGAGATCGTGGGAAACCGAAGTGTGGTTGAAGGCCAGTTGAACTGATCCCTAAAGTGTTCTGCCCATCGATCCAATCTCCTGGATTGAGAATGAATAATATGTCCATCTTTCTCTAAGATTGTTTCGCTAACGGTCGGGTTCCTAATACCGGTTTCCTTAATAAGTCTGAACAATTGTCTGCTATTACCTATTGCCGTTGCCTTTTCCATCTCTCTTGCTTTCGCTACCCACCACTGTTCGCGATCATTGCGTAGACTTCTTGTCAGCTTGCGCTTAAGCTGACTCCGCTCTTCATTATGTTCAGAGCCAGGTGGAATGTGTTTCCGAGGATCTATCAGTGAGATAGATGCTGTTGAGATCCAGTGTTGCTCCCTAACCTTCTGGTTTACCTTACTAGCAGATATCACTGCTGTTTCCGCAGCTTTTCGGATATCATTCCATGCTGCATCGGGGTGGGCATCACATACATGGCTGCCTAACTGTTTTCCTAGTTGTTCCTGAAATATACTCTTAGTTTGACTATCATTAAGTAGGGCCCTAAGAGGCTTCCTTGCAGCGTCTTTCCTACGTCCAGTAAGACGCAGACATACGCGCTCGTACTAGAGCATGATCTGAATCTAAGCATGTGCTCCGGAATGAGCGACAGTCTTCTATCGAGCCCCTCCATCGGTGGCTGATAGCGATGTGATCTATTTGGGTCCAACGTTGGGACGAATTAGGGGGTCTCCATGTTAAAAGATGTTTTTGCTTGTGCCTAAAGTTAGTATTTGCTAGGAACAGGCGGTTATCTGAGCATAGCTGCAACAGACGGTCGCCATTATCTGTTCTTTGAGCCACGACACCATAAGATCCACCTAGGTGTCTCCTTATCGCTTAGTTTACCTAATTGAGCATTAAAGTCACCGGCCACTATTACTACATCCGAGCGCTTAGCTTTCCGGAGAAGGTCCGAAAGCTTTCTGTAAAACTCATCTTTTACATCATCTGAGCTGCAGTCAGTGGGAGAATAGGCAGAGACGACGAAGAGGCAACGACGAGTGTCCCTATATTTCCGGATTCTTACTGTTCCGTTCAGTCGGACAGCGCACAAACGACTGTTTACTGGGATCCACTCTAAGATAGCTAGTTCTGCCCTAGGACTCGATGCTATACCTACGCCGGCGAGGCCACGGGAAGCAGAATCAGGGCTTTCAGATACACGAAGCGTAAATCGAGTCGGTTCTTTATTTTGGCATGGTGAGGTCAAATGAATGACGCTACTTGGATCCTGTATGCGCGTTTCGGAGACGCAGCACACATCGATGGCGCGAGATTCTAAAGTTTTAGCTAAGGAAGCCTGCTGTCCTATTTGGCAAAGTGTTAGGACGTTAAAAGCTCCTACGTGTAGTTTAGAGCGTGGTTTCAGGAGACCAGGAATGGCGTTCCACGTACTCGAATCGTTTGCCCTAGCGGTGCGAGGTGATAAAGAGACGTGAGGAGGGTTAGTCGGGAGGATAAGAGAGGTATTAGGAGGTGTAGGAAGGATTTGAATGTGACCACCTTGGTCTCTTGTGCTGTTACGGGTATGAGGGCTGATGTCACTTCCCGGCTGCCCACACCGTGGAAGGGTATTTCTTGAGGAACCTGAAAAGGAAATTGGATTAGTGTTGGTCTTGACGACCTGGGAGCGTGACCGCAGAGCCCAAGGGACAACTGCTTGAGGCCGATCGCGCACGGCCTTTTTGTGGAAGGTTTTTGACGTGTTAGCTCCGTTCTTCAAGGGGCCTTAGCGCCGGAGACGGAAATCCGTGAGGTAAGGTGAGGTGTGCATTTTTAGGGTCGACCTTTTCTAACCCCACCCCTCCTTGTGGGAAGGCAGCATCGCTGTCATGCTGGTTGTCCGAGGGAAACACCTTACTGCTGTCACACCTCTCTACAGTCAGCAGTACGACTTCGCCCTCAGACCTTGAGTTGCTGCTTTTAGTCTTACCGTTCACCAATCGACCTGCCTGGCATGGTAGAACCTGCAGGAACATATGTTCCAGCCAATATAGCTCGGTTGGGTCATCACGATAGGCAAGCCCGACCACCGCGTCAAGGTAGCAGCTTCGATCGGGTAATGAAGTGCATTATTGGATTGATCAGTTATAATGAGAATCGTTAGCATTTAGTTATTTTGAGTCATAAAATGATGTAGACATATAGTATGTGTGGTTTTTTTTCCTATAAGTGAACGCAGAAAGCAATTTGATGATTCAGTATCAAGCTTTAGAACTGTTTAAAATTTCGGACCTTGTTTAAAACAATTATTTTTTTTACGAATGAAATAGGTGGTTGTCTGTAGAATCCTTCAGTTGCACTACATTTACTTCCAAAATAATCTAGCTACTACTGATATTAATCTTGTAGATAATTTAACAAACTTCAACCAGTCATATGCTATATAGGGCTTGACACAAATGTGCATCGATCCAAGTCACATCACATCAGTATAGATAGATAAAATTAGCAAGATAAATATGAACGTATTAAAGGTGGCTGTGATGAAAAAAGATTAGGATATATAGGATTTGGTTCGAGAAGAAGGAATTAATTCGTGGAATATGGAGTATGGAATATTATTGTAACTCAAGATCTATGAGTAGACTGATTTTGAGCCATACCATTGAATTTCTCAAACCATTACAAATAATGAGCATAATCTTGCTCATTACACGTTAATTACTGTTACACTAGTCATTTTTTAAATTTTCTTTCAGAAGCAATTAATACCTTGCCATGCGACACAAGAAATATGTTAGCACGATCGCATTCAGTTGGATATCATCAAGAAACTTCTGTTACTACATCATTATCTACAATAGGACCAGGAGTAACAATGACAACATCATGCTCTATTAATCGTACACCGATTATTAACGTGAATTATCCATTAACAACTGGAAATTTAAATACGAACCGCTTACCTATTATTGGACATTCTACATCTACATCTGGTAAAAATAAAATGACGTCTGTAAGTTTACCACTACCAATGTGTACTACTAATTCTACTGTGAAAAATTTAAATGGATCACAACAACAGGAGGTTTGTTATTTCCTTGATTTGTTTTTCCATTATAAAATGCAAATTGATTATTTTTGTTTATCTTATTGTTGTTAGAATACCTTTGTCTTTTCAGAGATCTCTTATAACGCAGTTTTGTTTATCTTGGTGAAATTCGTTTTAACACTTATTTTTGATGAAAAGTGAATTACTTATTGGTCATTAGAGTAAACTAGGTTACGTTAGCTTCCGTAAGATTCAAGGTATCACCTTGCTGTGGTCATTTCCAACTATCATGAAACCAGAGTCTAATTTTACCTTCTTTCTATTTTCAACCAGCTAACATCAAGACAAAGTGTACACGATATCGAACCAATTAGTCTAGTGATCACACTGCAAATTGATTGATAGAATTCGATAGATACTAAAGGACTAGACAGAAAATATTGGACACTACTTAGTAATCAATCAGTATATATGTATATGGCACTTTGATCGATATCATTGGCAGGCTCTATGTAGATGATAACTGACTCACTATCATCGGATTCTTTTTTGGTATGATTTTAATCTCTCAATTCTCTTAAATGTCCTTTAAATAATTAAATCAAAGCTGTGAAAACTTGCTTATTTTTTTCTATGATCATCTCTGAAATATTAGATATTGTTTGTTGGATTTTTCTTATCGAAATGAATAGATCAAATATTAGGATTTTAATATGACACCACCTATCATCAAGTATGTTTATGCTTATATTTTTACCACACCATGACAACATGTGCTTCTTGGATTATTATTGCATGTTACAAATAAGCGATTCACATGATAAATCGTATGACTATTGTTACTTAGAGAAAAAAGAATGAATAAACTAGACTGTACTATTCAGTAATTCATGATTTATATCATGCAGTGAATTCCAATGTTATTTTTTATTTGGAAATATGGCATTTGATTAATTATGAGAAAATAAATAAACTAAATGAAGTCTATTGATACTGAGACAAACTATTTTACTACTTGAGCATAATAAAGATAAATTTGGTAAATGATTTTTAACGAGAATAATTTAGCTTTGCTGCTTAATTGTGATATGTTTGTCCACTTTTATAAAGGTGTAATTCTGTGTGCAGACTATGTTATTTTCTCGTCAAGTGTGTTTGATTCGCGGAAAATTGTTTATTGGGCATTTTGTTCTAAAATTTTTAGTCATTTATTTCTGATTCGAATGGAATAATGAATGCTGAACATTTGAATCAATGTAATTTTCTATGTGTACTTACTTTTATCGGTCTGCTATTCAAAAATCGTTTGAATAATTGGAAGTCAAGGAGTAGTAAATAACTCCTTTGTTCTAGCTTAGGTTATTTCTACAAAATCTCTTTCTATATCACTTTCAGTAATGTCAAGTTTTATTGTAAGTGACATCGAACTTCACTGATCAATAGGTCTTGTAGCTGTTTTTAACAGAAAAACGGATATTGTTACGAAACGAATATTTCCGTCAACATTGGAATTATATATTATTTTATTTTAACAAATAGATATTGGTACAAAGAAGCACCAAATACATATGCGCCACACAGATCTCATGTGAAATGTTTGAGGGCTGTGATACTGTCCGGGTGCCCAAACCGAAGCAGGTGGTTTTCTTAGGGGACCACGCCCCGAGCCTTCTACCTGAAGGTCTAATCCACAAGGCAGTGGAGCATCGTAAGGCGATGCAGTCCCATGGTAGCCGGTGACCAACGATTGGTTCCTACGCCATTTGTTCCCTTAGGATACTGGAGCGCATGTGCACCATTGGTTTGGAGTCAGGGTTTTCCAACTCCCCTAGGTGGAATCTCCATGTCCACCAACCCGGTTAAAGCACCGGACATTCGCTTTTTGTCCTCTCAGTTTCGTAAACCACACCCCCCGCCACGAGAAGGCAGTGAGTAGGACTTCCCTGGCAGAGGCTGTATACGCGTGGCCATGTGAGAGTATTTCGAGAGAGAGGGCGAACCCACACCATTCTCGGCCATATCAGGACATTCGGCGGCACATTGGAATTATTAACTCAGATAACCTAGTTTCTTTCGAAAGTTTCATCCTTCCATTGTTATCTAACTACCTATCTAATCCAGTCAACCACCAGAAGAAAGAAAAAGTTGGGAGAGACAGTAAGCAGCCTTGTCTGACTCCGGTCATCATTTGGAATGCATCTGTCAGCTACCCTCCATGCACGAATTCGCAGTGTAGTCCGTCGTATAAATTTCGCATGATATTGACGATCTCCTCATGTACTCACTCCATAGTGCCGAAGAAGTTTCCACAATATTCTTCTATTCACACTGTCAAATGCTTTCTCATAGTCAGTGAAGTCGATGTACAGTGACCAGTTCCATTCAATTGATTGTTCAACGATGATCCGTAGTGTCGCGATTCGGTGTGTGCATGACCGATCCTTACGGAATCCGACTTGCTGATCTGAAAGCTGGACGTCTAATGAACTTTTCATCCAGTTCAGCAACACTCGGTTGTAAGCCTTTCCTGTTACCGATAATAGTGTTATGCCTGTGTAGTTTTCACATTTTCTCAGATTTCGTTTCTTTGGTATCTTGATGGTGTGCTTCTTACCAGTATCTCGGTACTTGTTTCTCCTCTCAAATCTTCCTGAATAGAATGTGAAGCATACTTGTAGTTACTTCTATGTGTGACTTCGATGCATCAGCTGATATATTGTCAGGTCCTGCTGATTTCTCACTCTTGATTTGTCTGGTGGCCATCCTGATTTCTTCGATCGTTTGTGGAGTGACATTCATACGAAGGTCTGTGTGTGCTGCTTCGATTTCTGGTGGGTTCAGCGGAGCTGGTCTATTGAAGAGTTTCTCTAAGTGTTCTACCCATCTGTCCCTCTATCCTCGAATTTCAGTGATTGTCTTGCCTTCTTTATCCTTGACTGGTCTTTCTGGTGTACTATATTTTCCTGCCAGTTTCTTCGTTGCATCATAAAGTTGTCTGATATTTCCTTCTCTTGAAGCTTCTTCTGCTTGTCAGTTCTAATACTCCTCTTCACTTCCTTGTTTGCTTCTGTGTATTCAGCTTGTGCCTTGACTTTCCCTGTTCTTGTTCTTGTGTTGTTAATTGTTGTCTTCTTGTTCTTTCTTCTGTGAATCGTGCGCAGGATTTCGATATAGATCCCAGCACCTCCTGACACGTTGAAGATAGTATTTCTCTATTTCCTTTCCAATTGTCCTCCATCGTAGTTTCTTCTTATTTCAGTAGATCCTGTTTGAGATGGTTGGGCCACGTATTAGGCATGCCTAACAACTGAATACCACAGGGCACAATGCTTACTAGTGTTGGAGGTGGATGGAAGAATGTTAGGGGCCGTCTAAACCAAAAACGTCGCATTAGTCAATAAAGTCATTAAATTCTGATTTGTGCCATGTTAATATGTATATACTCTTTGTCTGTTCTAAAACGGTGAGATTAAAATCTCTTCATATCTTTCTTTCTACGAACTAATTCTTTCTCTCTGTTTCATATCCTTATGTGCAATCTTTTTTTGTTATATGTATTACTACCATTAAAGTAACTGCTTCTATTAATTTAGTGTTTTCTTGTTGTACTAATGAGGTATGGCAACTTGGATCGATTCATATGTGTGCCTGATTCTACGTTGTGGCTGTCTGATTGAGGATAATGCAAAAGATGTAATCTTTTGAATTCACCTCAAGATTTTGTTTCGTACTTATAAAATGTTATTTTAGTGAAAACTGAATTATCACAGGATATTCTTAATCTCAAGTGGTTAAACATATTTTTTTTTAAGTTTCTGATATACGGAATAAACAATGTTGTCCTCACAAATATATATTTATTGTATTAACATAGAGTATCGACCGCAAAGAGACAATAATTGTAATGTGTCTAACTTCTATGACTATAACTTTATTGAGATTTTTCCAAATTTGTTTAATACATCATTTCTTGAAGATATATAATTATTTATACTTTTGTAATTTTTACAGGGATTTTCCAATGCTCACTGTAGACGACAAAGCAATAATAATATACCTTCGAACATTGGCAACATTTCAGTTTGTTCAGTGGGTACTTTCACTTCAGTAAAACAAGCAGGTTCGAATTCCCAACTGTCATGTAATAAATCACGTTGTTGTACAAATGGTCAAATGGCACCAGGAGCAGCGACGACTATAACACCATCAGATTCATCATTATCATCATTATACCCAGGTACAGAATTAGTCAACGGAAAACCAGTTGTAGCTAAATGGCGTCGTGCGTGCAGCTTTTACTTACGTGGACATTGTAAAAAAGAAGATTGTGAATTTGCACATGATTTAACAAAAGTGACTTGTAAATTCTGGGAGATGGGTGAGTGTTTCAAAGGTTCCACCTGTCCATTTCTACACGGTTATCCACCAGAATTGAATATTGAGCAGCAGCATTCATAAGTAACAAACTGGAATACGTGTGTGTGTACATGGGCAGCTTTTAGTGTGTTCATTTCCCTTTTTTCTACGTAACGCTCACAATTTGATTATTTTATTCCTTTTGTTTCTACCAAAGAGAGGCTCCATATGGGAATATCAAAAAGAAAAGAAGTGAAAAAACGACATAATCCTTATTTAAATGCATTTTGTTTGTATCTTTATTGTCTTTTAATATGTTAATTTATTTTGTTTTCCTATCTTACACATTTTATGTATGGTTCGAGCTGAAAGCCCTGTCTCCCTCCCTTCCTGTATTATTCTGAGATTATTCTACTGGGAGAAACGAAAAGAGAACATTTTTACACTTTGTTCACGTTCATTATTATTATTATTATTATTATTATTATTATTATTATTATTATTATTATTATTATTATTATTATTATTATTGCTATCGCCGTTATCATTACCATTATCAACATTACTATTACGACCGTTATCTTTTTTTACTAGCAATAGTTTTCTCAAACTTCTAAACAAAAAACATCTATCAGTGGGTACTGTCTATCTTGTTTATTGATTTAACGAAAATCGGTTTCTTTTATATCAATGCAGATATACTCACATGAATGGCACAAGTTCTATAGTCTCTACTTTCAATTCCTCACTCACAAATTTGATTTTCGTCTATGTATTTTTTTCAGTCCGATTTTATTGTATTGGTTTATTCGTACTTTGATATTTTCCTTTTTACTTGTTTACTTGTACTCATGTCTCTAGTGTTGAATATAGTTTCAGTTGATAAGATGCCTCCTTTTACCGTTGTTTTTTTCTCTCACTGTAAACGTTTTTAATTATTCTACTTGTTTTTTTCTTTTACTGTTTTCCTTTCTTTTCCCAAATCCTCACTCTCTAATAATGTGTTAATATATTTTTGCAATTTGTTAGTAGTATAATTGTTAACTTTGACTATTATAATATGGTTTTTTTCTGATTCAGGTAGAATTCCACCGCCCGTTCAACAATTAAGGTGTTTCAGTGGTAGAGACAGAAAACAGTGATATATGATTTTGTAACTGTTGTTTTATGTTTTTTGTTTACGCCTCTTCCAACTTCCGATATAAACGTACACATTCGTTCATCTGTTCTATTAATTACATTTATCTCCGTTTTATTTTCACTGTTAACAAAAAACGTATCGACATTATTGTGGTCTCCTTTTTCTCTTTTTGGTATGCACTTGAATCAAAACAGTAAAGAAGAAAGCATCAACAGATACAACTTTTTATTTCACGTAATATCCCATAATGACTTTAAGTAATATTGGTGGATTTTTTAAAACTTATTTTAAAATATGCACATGTACGCATTATCGAAGGATATGAGTTCTGTTTGCTTGTTCACTCGCTCATCTGTATGCATAATTGTACTTTTGGTTTAATTTACTAAACATGAGAATGATGTTGATTAATTATATTGATTCATCTAATTCTCTTCTTTCTCTCAAAATCGATTTTTCCTGAACGGAAACAAAGATAACAAGAAATTAAATCTGAGTGATGTAATATCTTTCAGGTATTATTACTCCGATGTCATTTGCCTTTATTTTTATTGATTATTTACTTCATCATACTCCCTTTGTATCTCAGGTGGTAAAAACGTTTCTGAGATTCATAATGTGTTACTTCTTGTCCTTAAAAGTTGACTGATTACTATTAACTTTCTAGGCATTTACAAATCTGTTAATTTCTTTTTATAGCGTAATAGAAAATTTTTCTTTACTATGGTAAATAACTTCCTATTCACTTTGCTCAATATTATTTCATTTTAATATAGAAACGAGAAATGAAACAATTTTAATCCTTTTTGTCTATTTCTCTTTGCATCACACAAATATGTACACATTACATGGTACATCTACTCTTTATATGCTTATTGACCTATTGATTAACTGCTGCAGCTCTCTTTCTTTTTATCTACATTTAGTATATACCACTTAATCTGTATTGTTTTTCGTGCCAGTTATTAGCTATATCATATATGATTAAATTAACATTTAGTTAACAGTATTCTTTGTGGATTACATTATACTTTAGTACAACGTCTCAATCTATTTATAATTTCTCTATCTGTGCTTCTGAATGATAAAGAAGTTAACAGTGTCTGCAGATATGTAGTTGGTTTTTCTGTTTGACGTGAAAACTGTTTGTCAATATCTTTTAGTGTGTACATGAATAGAAAACAAAGATAGTTGCTTGTTTCATCATATCTATATAATATCTGTATTGATGAATATCATAAGGAGATAGTCTTATTGTCTCTTTTTTTCATATGAATAAAAAAATTATTTGCTCAAATTTGTTTTGCGTCAGTTTTGACGTGAAAGTTTTGAACACTTATCTATACGGGGAACATGATGTTTACTATCGAATCGTGTTGTGATTGTGAAGGGATAAGGTTAAATCCTGTTTCAAGGTAAGTTATAGATGGAATTATGTGGCGAAGCATTTAATTATCGCCTACACTTGAATAGTAGTGAAACTATGTACACCCTCATGTATTCCGCTCATGTTTTCGTAAGGAATGATATCTTGTTTTTCTAATGTAGTTTAAGTGAAACTCGAATATGAAATCTAACGTTCGAAGGTTCTAACCCTAACCCTTAAATCGTAGCTTTATTTGTGTGAATCCCTTTTCAAAATATATCTATAAACACATCAACTTCAAATGAATTAGCTGGTATTTTTCTTCATAGCACAGCACTCAACTGTAATTGAGTTTTATCTCCATAGAAGATATCACTGTAGATCTACTTCTGGTAAAATATATAGTCTCTTATATTAGTCAGAATTTGATTTGTAATGCATGGATCCCTATAAGGTTTCTTCTACGTTAAGCGGTATACCGAAATCACGTTCACAATAGTGTTTGTCTTCTGATAAACTTTCAGTTATAAATTTCTTATCTTTACACATGTGCTTCTGTACTATATATTACTTCGACCCGCTTAACATTTTCGAATAGATTCTCACCTGTTCGTACTGTTCCCTCTTAACTAGTATCTATTAGTCAATATATTTGTTCTTTTTCTCATCAATGCTGACATGGTTGTTCGATATATCCTGGTGCTTATATTTTTAATGGTAGCTAGTAATACACGCTTGTTCATATTTAGGATACCATCTAAATTCTCCTACATTCTGGTGTCGATATTCCCATATATATACATTAACTTAATCCCAGGCCTTTAAACAAGTTATAAATACGTTTTTAGATTTTTTATAACAGTCTTCACGATATTTCTATACAACGATCTCTTGAGTTTTCAGCCGATTTGTCGGATGACAAGAATGCGGTGGGTCTATGATTTATAGATGAACCAATCAGATCTAAAGTAGTGACTTGGATTTTTGTGCGAAATTCATATAACTAAGTGGAATTTTGGCATTATAGTTAGTAACAGTTCGTGACGAAAACTCAATCTAATTCCAAAGCTTAGTTTCCAACTCTAACTCCCCATCCTAATTCCTCACACTAAATAAAAACCCTATTTTGGTGATAGTAAGTGGTTGGACTTTCTCAAGGCCACTTAAGCATCTTTCAAAGGTCGTTCACAAGTTACTGGCTTTCCACGAAACCTTATAAAGTTATTTTTTGGATAAGATGTACATTGGCAGGGACAAATGTTTTACTTTCACATGATGTCATTTTGACTGTGCTGTGCCAGGAAAAACTATTTTCAACTTGAAATAATTTAACTTGTAAATAGAGCTATCGTATTCAGTGTTCAGAAGTTTTCTACCGTTGCCACTAGGATTTCATTTCAAATCTTAATGTCTCCATCTTAATAATTCTAGCTGTTTTGGCAGTATAATCTAGTTTGACGGGAAAGTTTAGAGATAGACAAACGTCCATGCCTAACCTAACAATAAAAGTACAGTGCAAAGACAAACTTAAAACAACGGCGACGAATATTTAGCCAGTCATCAGCCAATTAGAAACAGTTCTTGCAATTCGTCCCTGATTCGAGTTAGAGGAGATAAAACTACATTATAAGAGAAACCAGGATGGACTTCCCAAATTGCCTTGAGCTGTTCCTGACAGTCGGCCAATCAGAAGACAGCTTATCAAATTTCAAACTAAGCGCATGTGAATATTCATCCATAGATTTTAAATAACTTTTTGTGGTTTTGCGCGAAAATCATCCATGTATATAGCTACAAAGATTCCTTTCATCAAATCCAAAGTTAATTCGTGATGAAAACCTTGAATCTTGTCCTATCGTACATTCCATCATCGGTAGATGGCATGTGCGCTGATCTTTGTCAGTATGTCCCGTATTGGGTGTTCCTACAGAAATAAACTACCAGAAATCCATGACAGTTTACCCTGCTCTAGTTATTCAGGAGGCGGCATGTGCAAATGAATGAGTTATTACACTAGGACTGAAACGTAGAATATGGCGTCTAGGATCGGTGCATTATGACTGACTCAAGTTCATGATGAACAATTTAACCGTGGATTCTAATACAAAGTCCTGACACTAATTCCTTATCCTATTTTGATGAGCGATTCAAGACCTTAAGGCAATTTTCACGTTCAGTGACTCTGGGGTATATTTCAGCTTACCGGGATTTGGAATTAGACACTTAGAAATTTAGTCAGGATGAGGGTTATAAAGTTTGGACTCAGGTACGGGGTTTATTTGCGTTTTGTATACACTCTACATAGAAAGCATTGGGCATTGGACACTTTGAACGTTCACTTTTAATTTTCGATGGAAAAACTTAGTCTTTGACTACCACTTTTAATGTTATGAGCACTATACATGGGTATATTGCGTGATATGAGATAAAGTGATTCTTTTTTTCGCCTAATTCAGTTTCTAGCATACTTTCATCGGGCTATAACAAATACTTAAGGTTTTTCATTCATCAGTATCGTCATTTGTCTGTAGGAAACAATGAATTGTTCCAAACCATAATCATACGCATAATTTAGGATCGTACTGTGTTGGATAT